AAGATATATCTGAAAAACATTTTATTCACAACAAAAAATACTTATGTAAAACATTTTCTGACCACAAAGTCTCAGAAGAACAAAAAATTGTACACGCGTAGCGCTAATCCAGACATTGCTTAAGGCTTTTTTGTCTTGCATTATTTTTACATTTGTTTCAGACAACGATTTCTGGTTCCCAATGAACTCTTCTTCTTCTGGACCCATGCCTCCATGTGCCAGAGGACACACAGCAACCTTTGACCCAGAATCTAAGTCAGTCTTTGTGTACGGTGGCCTGAGGGATGGTCAGCGCTACAGCGAGCTGTACATCCTTAATACAGTGACCTGGAAATGGAGACTTGTCACTGTAGGTTTGTTAGAAGAATTAGTAGTGCTGAAAGGGACTAATTCAGGTGTATTATTCTGTAAAAACATATGAAAAAAAGCTAATTTTTCTCCAGATGATTCCATTTAAGAGTTGCTGTCATAAAAGTAAATGGATCATTGTGCACTAATTTGTATTTTTTTTTTTTTTTTAAAGCTTGATAGTTTTATACCGAAGGTATTTATTTTCATCTACTTTAAAGTCTTCTATCAAACGTTTTGTGCAGCGTTCAATGTTAAAATGTGTTTAAAGGTTTGTTGGCTTTATGAATTGGGGCTTTCTGTAAATAATTTGAAGCCAAACTGTTTTAAAAACACTCATTTGCATTGTTAAATGTAAAATGATGTTTGATATTTTTAATTAGAAGGGACTCTGTGATTGCATGCTATGCTTGATAAGAATTATATAAAAACTTTGGTTGATTCTCAGAATGTTTAACATTGCCAACATTGTTGGTGAGTTCATTTTAACTTTAATTTAATCAAAATGAATGTCGTCAATGTGTGCGTTTGTTTTTAAGTGTATACTCTAAGTACCCCTCTGTTTTTTCCATCTCAAGGCTAAAGGGGATGTGCCTAATTTGTTGTACCATTCAGCGGTTTTCTACCAGAAGGAGCTTTATGTCTTCGGAGGAGTTCAGCCAAGCCATTCACTGCGAGACAAGTTCTGCAGCAACAGTCTCTACATATTCAGCCCGGAGTATGAGCTCTGGTACCAGCCCATTGTGGAGGGGGACAAGCCTCTTCCTCGCTTTGGGTCAGTCTGTTTTGCAAGATTTAATTGTAAAAAATATTGTAAACATGCTTCACATACATGGGAATACTGAGCACATATTCTTCAGGCACTCAGCTACTCTTCTTGAAAAGAAGCTGTTCATTTTTGGAGGACAGAAGACTGTTGCCTACTTGAATGATATTCATATTTTAGATCTGGGTAAGGAGACTGATTTGATGCCTTCTTTAAATATATATTTTTTTGCCCCAGTTTGCTCTGATGTTTGGATTTTTCTCTTTCGTTAAAGGACTGATGGAGTACACAGCTGTGAAAAATGTCAACATGGCACCGCTGCCTCGGGGGTGAGTACAGAACAAATCAACCTTGATAAATGTCATTGACGAAGCCATCTGGTTCCTGTTTTTATATATATATATATATATA